CTGAGATGAGTGATCTGACTAGAGGAGCACTTGTGTTGTCTTTGGTGTATTTGGATAAAAAAGAAGCATTGAAAGAGTGAGAAGGGCAGAGGGAATACTTTTTTTTTTTTTTTTTTAAAAAAGCTTAATTACTAGTTCTGATTACATTTTACATGATTGTACATAAGGGCTGCGAGGTGTCTCGGTGGTTAGCATCGTTGCCTTGCAGCAAGAAGGTCACCGGTTGGTGTCCTGGTGAGGACACCCGGGATCTTTCTGCGTGGAGTTTGCATGTTCTCCCCGAGCAGCGTGGGTTCTCTTTGGGTTCCCCGGCTTCTCCCACACAGTCCAGAAACATGTTGAGGTTAACTGGTGATTCTAAATTGTCCGTAGATGTGAATGTGAGTGTGCTTGGTTGTCTGTCTCTAAGTGTAGCCCTGTGATAGACTGGTTACCTGTCCAGGGTGTCCCCTGCCTTCGCCCTGAGTCAGCTGGGATAGACTCTAGCCCCCCATGACCCTAGAGAGGATTAAGCGGTGAATAGATACCGGATGGATGGATGTTTGTACATAAATGCAAGGCAGCAGTTTATGCCAAGCCGATGTCATTGTCATCATTTGCATTTGCATTGTATGTGGACTTGTTTTGCTTTATCTGTGGCCTCCAAAACCTGGAGCTATATCGTAAAACAAGGAAACACTGTTTGATGGTTGAAACTTGGTTATAGAGTTGAGGTTAGAACTACATTAAGGTTGGGCTTACAGGATAGGTGGAGCCAAGAGGTGTCCCAGGGTGCCCACTGCCACCACAGGCTAAAGTCTGGCCACTCCACCGCCAGTAGTGCTCCAAACTGTACTCATTCCTCAGTGGATTTAGATTCTCTTGATTAGCATAGAGGGCCTTTTAAAAAGTCATTCCATTGTCTCTGTTTGTCTTCATGTCAACTTTGTATCATCTTTCCCTCTTTGAAGTAGTTGGAGCTGAGCTGGTGACAGAACATGAACTGTTTGCACCAACACATATCAGTAGATGGAGGCCTCTTGAAAAACACAGTTAGTCCACTGGGTACATTATCTTTACTGTCACATCCTGCTCCTGATTATATTCATCAGTGATCAATCAGCCACCACTTGCATTCATTCACATTGATTGAATCATTAAAAAAACAATGAAATGTGAATCCAGGATTCAGTCCAGAACTCAGTGTTCATTTCCAGTATATGTATACAAACACTGAGTAATGTAAAATAGGCTTCAAATATTGTTGAATACTTACAACTTTGCACATATAATGACAATATATAG